CAGCCCGAGGATTTAATTTACAAAGTGTACAGCTAGCTAGCTCTGCTCAGCCATTTTTGCTCATATAGGAACATACTGGCGAAGCCCACTGTGAACCGAGTGTGCTCTTGTGTCGTTGAAATTTCAGCTGTGCAACATTCTGGGCACTCTCAAATTATCATGAGAGACAAACGGATCTTTTCCTGGAAATTAATTTCTTGGGAAATGCAAGGTCTATGCTCTATGCTTATAATTTTTGCGAAACAGGTGAATAACGCGAGCATCGACTCCCATCGGTACGCTCACCATCGCCATTGTCATTATCATTGATGTTTGTTTCGTTACAAGTGTCATCATAATCATCGTGTTATTTACGGGCGTTTAAAGTTTTGGCAATTTTTTCTTATAAAAATTTTGAATTATTAGCAGTCCCACAGCATTGTACTCGCTCTTAATGGTATTCTGGACGCTCTCTTATCATTATTTAGTTGTTAGAAGAATTTTTAAAAGGATGGCCAGGGTTGAGTCTATGTAAATTGAATAAAAAAATTTTTGATTTTTACTGATTTCAAATTGACGCCCTTTTTGCGATATCTCCATTATTTACAGAGATACTGGCGTTTAAAGTTTTGGCAATTTTTTGTTATGAAAATTTCAACTTATTAGCAGTCCCACAGCTTTGTACTCTCTCTTAATGGTATTCTGGACGCTCTCAGAAGATTATTTAGTTGTCAGCTGGATTTTTAAAGCAATGGCTGAGGCTGAGTCTATGTAAATTAACAAAAAAAAATTTTTTAATTTTTACTGATTTCAAATTAACGCCCTTTTTGCGATATCTCCATTATTTACAGAGATACGGGCGTTTAAAGTTTTGGCAATTTTTTGTTATGAAAATTTCAACTTATTAGCAGTCCCACAGCTTTGTACTCTCTCTTAATGGTATTCTGGACGCTCTCAGAAGATTATTTAGTTGTCAGCTGGATTTTTAAAGCAATGGCTGAGGCTGAGTCTATGTAAATTAACAAAAAAAAATTTTTTAATTTTTACTGATTTCAAATTAACGCCCTTTTTGCGATATCTCCATTATTTACAGAGATACGGGCGTTTCAAGTTTTGGCAATTTTTTCTTATAAAAATTTTGAATTATTAGCAGTCCCACAGCTTTGTAATCGCTCTTAATAGTATTCTGGACGCTCTCAGAAGATTATTTAGTTGTTAGCTGAATTTTTAAAGCAATGGCTGAGGCTGAGTCTATGTAAATTAACAAAAAAAAATTTTTTAATTTTTACTGATTTCAAATTAACGCCCTTTTTGCGATATCTCCATTATTTACAGAGATACGGGCGTTTAAAGTTTTGGCAATTTTTTGTTATAAAAATTTCAACTTATTAGCAGTCCCACAGCATTGGACTCGCTTTTAATGGTATTCTGGACGCTCTCAAAAGATTATTTAGTTGTTAAAAGAATTTTTAAAAGGATGGCCAGGGTTGAGTCTACGTAAATTGAATAAAAAATTTTTTTGATTTTTACTGATTTCAAATTAACGCCCTTTTTGCGATATCTCCATTATTTACAGAGATACGGGCGTTTAAAGTTTTGGCAATTTTTTCTTATAAAAATTTTGAATCCGTATGTAGTTATCATAGTGGGGGGAACAGAAATATTAATGGTGACGAGAACTTTCAAGATGTAACGTACCAACTTCACGAAAGCAATGCTCTTTATCGGAAACTCTTATCCAAAAAACAGATTTCACTGGTAAATCCCAACACTCCCATACCAAAATACTCGCAGCACCTCTTTGTTCCAAAAACTTAAAAAATATAAGCTGTGGAACATCGTTGCACGCTAATTTCACGTGTGGTTGAAAAAAAAAAAAAAAAAAAAAAAAATACTAGCGAAATGAAAAATGGGATGGAGCAGTGAGCTTGGCAAGAAGCATGTACAGCTGTACAGTGCAGCGCAGCGTGGCGAATTAGTTCGGGCGTCCTAGAGTGGATTTTCAAGAAGTGTAACGAGGCTTGGCTACCGGCGGTATGCGCGCGGAGTCGGTACACCCGGAGAGGAGTCGGGAGGAGGTGTACTTTTGGTTATCCACTTGTCAGCGGGCTCGTTTCCTACTTTTTTTTCCCCTTACCCTTCTTATTCTTGACGGCGTTTTGAGAGACACCGAATGGGACAAAAAAAGCCAGACTCAGCGGACGGCCTCGAAAAATAGGTTGCGCCAAGAGATGGCCACGGGGGACACGACCAACCCTCCCCTACCTACTTACGTACACACCTTGAGCATCAAATGAATACCGTGTTCTTCGATATCGAAAAACTGATCTCAAAACGTATGTGTTTTTTTTTTGCTTTTTTTTTTTCAAATTGTCAACGGAGCTTGTCGTCACTATTTTCAAAACATGAAAATATGCGCGTCACACTTCATGTAAATGTGCTCTTTGCCCAGAGGATAAAAAGTAGACAAAACAGCCCATGGCACGAATGGCACATTCGCGTTATTTACGAAGACAGAGCGCCTCTATTTTATCCTCTCTATATAAATAAACATCGGATCCGTACGTAAATAAATAAATAAATATACCGGCACGAGGGGATTTCAAATAATAGAGGGTTACACGTGAGCTGCGGGAGAGTTATATCGGGGCTCGTTCAATTTTCATCGAAGTATGGCTTAATCAACCGGCGCCGGAAAGCCGTGCCGTTTCGACTTGTGCGCGAAAAAGTATGCAAATTAAATAACTCGGTCGTAAAACAGTTCGCCGACGGTGGGCTCAATTAATTCCGCGGACGGCTGATGAAAAATGACGCAGTGACTCGCACGCGCATCGCTGATATCGCACTATATCCGTGTCGAAAGGCTGTCCGGTTGTAATGTAGAGGTGACGGAGGTTCGTTAAAACTCTGCGAGAGGAGAAAGCACTTTTTACGCTTGCTTGCTGGCCCTCGCTCCAGCGTGCGTTAAAAATCGATGATAAGCGTGGAATAACGCAATATATGTATACGTATATATACGTGTGTAATTAGGTGTTGCGTTCTGTTGATCCCCTCTTTTTCGCTCTCCAACGTAGGGAAACGAAAAAACCTTTAACTCGAGGGGTTTTTTTTTTCCTCTTCCCTCTTTTTCCGTAGAAATACCTGAATCCGCGAAATTCTTTGTTTTACGAGAAGCAGAGTTTGCGAACTCGAGAATCACAGTCAAACGGATATTTTAAAAATACATGTAACCACCCTCCAATTATTACGGAAACAAAGGCATCACCAAGGCTCCTTAGCGCAGTTTTTTCGTCTGATGCTTGGCTGCCTAAAGAGATGAAGCGGTGGTTGTCACACTTTCTCCCAACGAAGCCTCTTCGCGAAAAAAAGAGAATAAGGGCTGCTCGTGAGAGGAGAAAAATTAAACGAGAGAAGAAAGGAGGTCAGCGGATGTTTCGACGACGAAAAACCAGCCCATGGCCGAAGGGGGCTTAATTTTTGGTGCTACTGCTAGTGTCAGTATGCGTGGTAAAACGCATGGTAGGTCGGAACACCTCCAGAGGTGTTGTTGTACCTCGGTCGGAAAATTAAAAAATTTCGGGTCGGAAGTGCTGGTACCTGCGTCATTTCGTACTCTCGCGTAGCGTATAAGACAGAAAAACTTGAATAAAGCAGAATGAGACGGTCAAAAAAGTAAAATGTTTGCACAACAGCAGCAACAATAAGATTTTCGATTCGATGAGATTTAACGTATGCGGTCAAAAAAGCAGGAAAAAACCCCAAATAAATACCCGCCCTACAGACCTATGAGTTCAGTCCGTCGTCCGTCACGGAAGCCGGCGAGCTCGTGAGCGTCAAAACGGCTTCCCGGTAATTGTGCGTAATGGCTCGAACCGTCCCCGCAGGCCCGTTACTCCATATTAGGCCGAAAAGTAGGCCGAGACATTTTTCGCGGCGCAACACAAGAACGCACGAGTCCCCCCCGTCCTGCTCGTGTACAAAACTCGAGCAAACAACTGCGAGAGAGCTGCAGTGGGACGAAGGGGTGAAAGTAGAAGCACCGCTCGAGGTCGAAAATGGTGTTTTACGGAGGGAGGGAGAGGCGTTGGACGACTTGGTGTTGTCGACTACAACAACGGGGAGGGGTGAGAGGAGACGACTGCAGACAGGCCGACAAGTGCGCCGGCGTTATTATTGTACGCCTCTGCTTTCTCAAGCCACACGGCTGGTTTGGCCAGGGGCGATGCGACGTGTCGTTTTCCTCGGCCAAACAGAGGGAGCTTGGTTTGCGACTCGTAAATACCACCCCCCCCCCGCCCTCGTCTCGGTGGCGACATATTTTTATGCCGAGATCGTCCATTGTGCGACGCGTACCTTCCGCTGCGACAGCCCAGCCGGCTTACTTCCGTCCTGTGCTGCAGCTGTCTTATTTTACCCCCACCCCCCCTTTTTTTTTTGTACTTTTGAAAGGACGACGTTTTGTGCTCTTTTTCGCTGGCCACAGGTGAACAGGTAACAGCTGCGGTGGATCGAGCTGACGTCTGGCTGAGGAGGATCTATATGACACACCGGGACCTCGTTTCTCCCATTTTTTTCCTTTTTTTTTTTTTTTTTTTTTTTTGGCAGCAGCTCTCGACACGTGAGGACAGGAAATTCCGAAAGAGCTCGGCTCGAGTTATTTACGAGCTCTGCTGCAGTACTAATGATGCTTGATCATTTTGAAATTTTTAACGATCGCCTCATCGCTATCTCTCTTTCTCCAACCTTTTCCTTTTTCTTTTTTTCAAACCCACCTTCATTCGTCCATGCTCTTATGGCTCGACGGAATTTTCACGTAAAAAGGCGTTTTACGTAATTTTAGCCATTTTTCACAGTGACTCGATGTCACCTCGCGTGAAAAATTACCTTTCGAATGTTAATTCTGCTGTTTCGGGCTCGCGTTCAACGACCGATGAGCTACCGAGCAGAGAAAAAAAAAAAAAAAAATTTGCATTGTTACTTGTGAGGGAGAATGAAAACATGCTTGTCTTTGGTTGTTGCAGATGACCTCAAGGATACCGCAAGTCTGGGAGTGGGGCTAGAGACGCTCTCGAGGATTTCTCTGCCGGGCCAGCAGCCATGTGGCTTCTTATGTATAGCTGTCTCGCTCTACTATCGGCGTCGCAATCGCAAACAGGTATGCCACTCGATCAATAATCGTTACGAAATTTATGACTGTGAGTGCACTTATTACAAGTAAAGTGGAATTTATAACGTATTCACGCGATTTTATGTCGTCCTTTGTTCGAACAGGTTTAATGTAATTATCGTGATGTAGGGGCCCACATACGCTTGGCAAAGTAGATTTTCAATTACGATGGCCATCGATGACTTTTGCATTATCCCGACAACGCAGCTTTGTTCAAATTATTCGTCGATACGCCAACAGTTCAAGTGTGCTCGAATGATGTACGAGCGTCCTCGCCCTTTTTTAATCCACTTTTAGTAATCCAGGGAATTTTGCATGTCAATGAAGCTTTTTAATTAAAACAAATCAAATCCATTAATGAATATTCGAGCAAGCTTTTGCTATTGTACACGACGAGATCCATAAAATTTCAAAAATGGTTGTAAAATTAAATTCCCCCATCGAAACGCGCACTTGAGAATTTCCCCTCGAATCGGAAGCATCACTGGCGTTGATCAGAGTACAATTGAGACGCCTTGGCTCCTTTGTAGAACTCAAAAAAAAAGGGGAAGGGGAGCTGCAAACTCCCGAGTGGACGGATCGAGTGACTGTCGCGTCGAGTAAACTTCCGACGGTAGTGTGTAGTTGATGCGCCAATCACAGTCTTGAGTTCGTTATCTGCAGTGCCGTGTATATATACCAACACGAAAATGACAATTGAAAACGTGTCTTGCGTTACTTTTGCTCTTTTTCTCGTACCGGGAGCCTTTGCGCGTTCTCGCTTGGCCGTCTGACTGTTTTCGGTTTGTTCTACTGCATCGAGATTTTTTTCCCCCACTCACAAACAGAGCCAAGTACTTTGCTCGTAATTTTTATTTACCCAAAATGTATTATCGTGCATATTGACTGATGAAGAGCTAAGCCACTCTCTTGGAAACTCTTGTAGTAGCGGGGGGGGGGGTAGTAGTCATAGTTAGTATATAGTCAGGCTTGGCTCGCGCAAACTCTGGGTGAAGTATAACTTTAATCTCGCCTCTCGAATCTTAATTATATAAACTTGAGTGATAAAATACTTTATGCTGGAGTTAGTTGTGCATCGTAACTCATTGTGTATGCAAAAAAAAAAAAAAAAAAAAAAAAAAAAACATTTCAAGCGGATGACATCGTATGGACAAATAGAGAGAAACGGAAAGAAGACGAGGGACAGACAGGCCGAGTATACGCACGAGGACAGGCGGTAGTGGAAAAGGGCCGTGCGTTTATCAGGTCATCGCGGTAATAAATTTATCTCCAGAGCGCGCGCGCGTGTGTGCGCAAAAGCAGTTATAGCTATAGCGACCGCTGGAATCGAGCCAGTATCTCTGTAACTTTCTTCCTTTTTTCTTTTTCTTTTTTTTTTTTTTTCACGGTGACTTATGGCTCCGGCGTGCCACGAACGCCCCGCCCGACGGATGCTCTGTTCTAAGAGTCCCGATGACTCCTCCTCGTGGCGCATTATCTCCTTCCAAACTGTCGGCACTGCCATTTCAGGCTCACCGCCTCTTACCCCTCACATGGACGGCTCAAGTTCCACGATACCCTATGTATCTCACTTTACCTCGATTGGAATTCTTTTTCCCTCGCGTTTAATTTATCTTCAATAGACCGCTCGTCGGCCTCGTCTTAAATAGTAACAAACACATCCTAGTAAATTGGTGAATTGGCACGGGAAAAAAAGTACTTTGCAGGGGCAAGCGCATATCCATCCGGATCAAACGAAACGAGAAGGAGCTCTCTACCTCTTTCTCTCTAGTGCGCACGAGTGGTCGAGCAAGGCCGAATGATAAAGTGCAAGACTCGCGTTTCTGGTCCGGGTATGGAAAATCCGTCGAATTACCGAGCGAACAAACGGGCCAGTGGGCGCACAACTGTACCGTACAGCGCCAAAGTGCAAAACTAAGCTGCTGGCGTTACGTGTATGCGCTCTCGTATAAATGCGTGGGGAGGGTGTAACAAGTCGCTGCAGCGGCAAAACGTATTTCGCAACGCGACCTGGTATACCTGTACGTATATGGGTAAGCCGGATGGAAGTATAAATCTCACATATACCTAGACTTTTATTGTTTCTCAAGTGGGATATATGTGCATGCCTGACGCCCGGGATTTTTCGTTCCCATCTCGATTAAATTAGGACTTGTGATTCCAAAAAAGAAAAAAAGCACTTTGCTCGTCCATTGATAAATTTCGCAACTGTTGAGAGCGAGCATCCTTCTCTTTGGCTCGTGCAACGGAGGACACGCGCGTCACCGTATAACCTCACGCATAGAGATACGGGTTGCGAGAGCTCCACCCTACTTTCGCAGATGGAATATTGTTTGTTGTTTTCCCTTTCCTTGCACGCGGGGTGTGGGAGGGGAGGAAGAAGAGGCACAAAACAATTTTCCTTCCCGCGTAGCGAAGGCGTTGTTGTTCCCTCTCGCCTTCGGCGCTCTGTTCTCGCTTATTACTATTAATGTCTTGTTGGCATTACCCGGCGAATGAAAGGGCCAAGGGAAATGTTGTTATTATAAGCATTATTTGAGCGGAACTTTTGTAATTTGCATTTCAAAGTTCGAGCGAGCTCGGGCGCAAACGGACCCAACAGTAATGGACACAAAAATGGAAATACGATTCGCCAACCGCCGAGTTAACTGTACAACCTTGCTGTACAACGGCTTTTCTTTCAGAGTTTTCTCGCTGCAGGTAAGGTAGTACGTACCTATACATTCGCGTTGTTCGGTGGCAAAATTAATTTCTCGCGTGGAATCGGCGCGAGTAACAAATTACCTACGACCGCCGAAATTCGGGGCACGCGCTCGATCGAGTCGAGTTGAATCGACGCTGTTTCACAACTCGGTCCGACGCCGGGTTAATAAATAAGATTCCCTTCGAACAATAAAAAATGCGTATTACTCGAGCCGTTGAGCTTTGCTGTAACGATTGATTAAAAATAAAGATAGGGTTTTACAACACATACTTTACGAGCACTTCTACGGACGTACAAAATGTCACCGTCACTTTGCTGGTGGCTTTTTCTTGATTTATGCACTTTTCATTATTGCCATCATCGAAAACTTTGGACAACAATTGCGAAACACTTTTTATCTACCAAAGTCAACAGTGATCTTTGAGGTTGATTTTTTTTGTCCCACCGGGGCAATCAAAAAACGCAGCCTCTCCCACGTTCTTTATCACGCCGCACACAAGTAACCTTTTTTCCGCGGACTTTGTTCTCTTTGCCTGTTGGCTCCGTGGAATTTCAAAGCAGCGGGAACTCCTTGGCCGACTGGCACGTCACTCGGTAGACGCGGCGAAAAAATTATGATGGCCCACGGAACAGGGAAACGATAAAGTTTAACCTGATTCACAAACATTGGGAGCGGGAAGAAGAAGAAGAAGGGAAAAAAAAGTAGAGGAGCCAAAGTCGGAAGCAGGGCAAAGTTACGGCAACGAAATTGCCGAGACGTCAGGGAGACGAGAGGGGCGGAATACCCCTTTCCCCTACGAGGTGGCTGGGGGATGGAGATTTGTTGTGCTTCGAGACAAGTCGACCAGCGAAAAGAAGGGACGAAGAAAAAAAAAAAAAAAGAGGTAGGGGGGTTGAAAAAGACGAGTCTCTCGAGCACGACTCGTAATCATTGTCTCGGACAAAGGTCGGAAGAGGGACCCTTTATCCGGCAAAAGAGTGACCCATTTCTGCTCTCGGAAACGGGTCGCGTGTACGGACACACTTTACAAACGGTGTAACCATTGCGAGAGCAAAAACACGATCGAAAGTGTGCGCGTGTATCGCAATCTCGCGATCCGCAAATAAAAGTTTGTTCAACTCGGGCCCGTGGGCTGCGGAGATTAAATTAAGATCGAATCTCGAGTTAATGGAAACGAGGGGGTATACCGGCGGTAAAAAGGCGCCGCGACGGCAAATCGAGATTTTGCGTGCAGCCCCGGCAGGTGTTGGCGGCACGGTCTTTGCCCTCCTCGAAAGTTTGCCCAGCGTGACGCTTCGGACGGAAATTGCGAGCACCCCTTCTTCGCGCGCTCTTTGACGCCAGCGTGCTCCACTGAAATGAAAAATCACCGCACACCGGCTGAAGTCGCTCTTCCAACATGGAAAACAAAGTTTTAGGTTTTAAATGGAGTCCTGCAGTTATCGCCGACGAGGGCGCTTATTTGTTTCCCAGCTATCCCGTGTTTGACGTGGATGATCGTCACCGCGGGCTATTGTGATTTTATATGCTAATGTGCGAGCACGGCCACGTAAATGACCTCTGTCACTTTTGAATATTCCGAGGAGTAATCGCAAATGGTTTCCTGCTGGCTTTATTTTCCCCAGGGAAATCTTTCTCAAAATCGTCTTTAAACTTTGGCGCGGACGGGATGCAATACCTTGAAAGCAGAGAGCAAAATGGTACTTTGCCGTGAAACTCATTGCGTCGAAACGTCGAGCGGGGAATGAAAAAACAATGGAAAAAAAGAAATGGCTGCGATCTAAATAAAGTTGGATCCGAGCAACGCGATTAGAGAAAAATCGAGTCGAGTGCTCTCTCCAAGGGAGGTCCTACTCTTATATGCGTTTGCGCGCGTAATGCGATGCTCGTTCGCTTTGAGTAACTCATTTCCCGATCGCTAAGAGGCTTTCTTCTCCTCTTGCTTGAAAAATCCCGTCGTAGAGAAAAGAGACGAACAACGAGCAAAGCCCTCCCTCGATGCCTCAATTCGCTCATGACAATTGACCTTTTTGGTATAACAGCCCGGTTCCCCTCGAAAAAAAAAAAAAAAAAAAACCCATAGGTCAAAAAGCGACAAATAGAGGTATGAGCAAGTGCGGAGAAAAAGAAAAATCGATACCCACGTATGAAAAGTTGCAGCTCAAAAGAGAAAAACAGACACAGCGAAACGTACAGTGCGCCGCATAGCTCGTAGATTTTCCAAAATCGCAAGAGGCGCAAATAAAAAACAAATCCTCGCGACATTGCGTTCAAATAACACGATACGTGAAAAAGCGCAAGGGGGGGAGGGGGTGCGCGAGAAAATGGAAAACCGTGTGTTATTCCGAGAACGCGCGACCGCGATGCAACATAATACGGCAAAAGCCGACTCCCCTCTCGGGGCGATTGGTTAATGCCAAAGTCCTTTCAATTTTATCGGCCGCTACCGCAGCGCTCATTGTACTGTTGAGGGGCGCACGCGTAAAAATTTACAGGGCTACGTTGTACAAAAAACACAAGCCGCAGCGTGTAAATCACATATATATATTCATCGCGTCGACATTTCCCGCCATCCGCACTCGAGCCCTCCTCGATGAACGAGCGCTCCTTTTATCCCTTTCGGCGCGATCTCTCGATGACTTTGTCATTGTACTATGCGAAACGCGACGCCGATGCCAAAGTACCTCCTCTGCTAATGTATTTCACTGATGTTAGCGCAGTTATTTTATTTTATTTTTTCTCTCTCTTTCTTTCATTTATTCTCCGTGTTAGAACTTTTTTTTTTTTTGCAAACGCTATACACGCGAGGGGGCATTAGCAGCATCATCTTTGTTTTCCCTGGCTTTCGTCTAATGGATTCTTTATCCCCGGAAAACGAAAAACAAAGCTGTGGACAAACAAAACACAGGTTACGCCCATACTCTTTAAAGTATACACATTTCGTTGTGTACATATACACGTGTATGTCTGTAGCACCGAATACTGTCCTTAAAACGAAAAAAAAAAAAAAAAAAAAAAACCATTGCCCAAATGCAATTGTCGCGTACATCGAAGAAAACAGAAAATCAGATTTCAAGGTTTGGCCAATCCCGTATATATTATACGTGCATTGCACCAACAGGGGTGGGAGGGAATTATGGAGATACCCGGTAAAGGGTGACGGAACAACCGGGAAGAGGAGTAATAACGCTAATGCAATAATTTTCCATACATTTCGAATGAGGCGTTGCAGCGCCGGTGAGAGAGGGGGGAGAGGAAGGTAAACGGGGGTACATGTACATATACATACACAGTTAGGTGCACGAGGTGGGCAGAGGGAGGGAAAAAAAAGAGCAGCCGGGAGAGGGAATTTTCCACATCGGGTAAGCGGGACACGTGCTCGACACCTGCACCGGAATTCTGATCAGTTTTTCCTCTGCTGTCCCACACTCTCATTTTCTCTCCTTCCGAGGCGGAAATTCAACTCGGGGACGAGTAGTGCAGGTCGAAAGGAGGGAAGGGGTGGGGTGGAAAGAGAAAAGGCTCGGGAAAGCGGTGGCGACCGAAATAAAAGGAAACCAAGTAAGCTCCGAAGAAAGGCGCGTGGCAGCTCGCGCTCGAAGCTGGCTTCGTTTTGTTTGCTTAATTATTTTTCATTTAGCGAGCTGCTTCGAGATGCATTTTCAATTGCTTAGCCCCCCCCCCAATACCCCTCCCCCCGACGCTTAATACAAGAGAGGAAATTTTTTTTCCCAGATTTCTCAACAAAGGAAGCTAGTGTATGTATTGTGTGTTGGCTTTTTCATTTTTTCTTCTCGTCTACTCGCCTCGCGAGGAATCGCGTTTGATGGGGGTAGAAAATAACGCTCCTCTTTGGCCATTTTCGCTCGAGATCCGCTCCTGCTCTGGCCAGCTTTTTTTTCGAGCCACGCAAAGTTGACGCACAAAGAAAAATCATTGAAAACACTCGCGCACACAAGAAATGTATCTCATCTTTTGCAAAATCTCATTACCCGGGAAACCCTCGCAAGGAGCCATTTAAAGAGTAACTTTCCTCCGACGACTCGCAAGTACGCGTATACACTTATGCACCGAGTCTCGCAGCAAGACGTCATATTATGACAATACAATGCGGACTGAATCCCCGCGGGAGAGCGCGTACGGCTACAACTGCAGGAAGTTGGGCGCCAGAAATGGGAATTCAAGGAGCCGGTTGAAAATCTTATTCGGCCGCCCGCGAAACCATTCTACCTGCAAACGATCCGTTCTTATCGCCGCACAACTTTGCGTGCCCCCACCCCCCCCCAACCCCTCCCGCGACTTCTTCCACTCTCGTATCTTTCAGAATTTCCGGTCTTCGAGCTGATGAATGCATAATGGACCTCTGCACGAGCAACTTGCACCGGGTACAATATAGGAACACGCGGTGTAAAGATGTTTCGCGTCCGATGGAAATGAGAGAGGTTCAATTGAAAGCTACCGAGTAACGAAAAGACAAGGTGGAACAGGCGGGGGATCGCTGCACGATAAAACGAGCTCTTTGTGCGAGTATGAATTCGAAGGGGGAAAGGAAAAATAATTTGAAAAGTCGCTTGAACCGCTGTGCACCGTATGTAGTTATTCGAAGAAGGAAAAAAAAAAATAGTATTGACTCTCAGTCGTGGTTAACGAGCTCATCCTTAAAAGTAAACTCCAATTTCGCGACTCGTTAAAATCGTCTTGGGCGTTCGAGCAGGTGAATGCCAGTGTCGAGAGGAAAGAAGCTAGGGATTTTTTTTTTTTTCTATCCAAAATGGACACGGCCGTCAACTTACGTTTCGTACGGGTATTGTCGAACCGCACAATGCCCGAAAACTCCTTGGGGAATGAAAAAACAGATGGAGGATGGAGGGCCAAAGTACGTACTATGTAAAGATTTGGTTCTCGCGCGTGTGATTCCGAGTAAAAAATCGCCGACGATACACCTTTCGTGCTCGCAGACTTTTATCCTAGTTTCCTTCCTCCCCCGAGCTATTTTTTCTCTCTGTCGTGTGTAGCCCGTCCACTGTTTGTGATGTATGTGTACATCGCGCCGCACACGACACTGTACTTTGATCCTATCGGGCAAATTTCCCCCCCTCCTTTTTTATTTTTACAAACACTTTGCCGTGCAAAAGCCACGCAGTGCGATTAACTTGCAAAATTATTAATTTCGTCCACGTTGTGTACGGCCCTTGTTCATCGCGATTGAATAATTTCAACTTGTAATATATAATCTCGTTGAAATTCAAATGGGTGGAATAATCGATGGAGCCACACACACGAGAGACGCCGAAACGCGAGACTGACGCTTGATTAATTTAGACGGACAATTTTACGCCATGGCGTGTGTATACATTACGTACATTATAACCGTACGGAGACGGAATTTTGGCATGAATTGCCGTTATTTGGCTTTACATGAGTTTCAAACTACACCGAATGTTAATTCGATACTCCCGAAATGAAGAATCGATACGTCAAATTGATCAGGCTTCCACAGGCGAATAGGTCCCTTTTGGTATAGTATGAAAAAGAGGTAAAACCCGCAACATCGACGCTTTTAGCTAAAAACTTGGGTGAGAGAGAGCAAAAAAAAAAAAAAAAAAAAAAAAAAGGGAAAAAGCTTCTCACGTTTCTGCTCTACCTTACGTCGACGAAGATTCGTAACGAAGTATTCTCCCCCGCGGCTTTCACCCGATGTTACAAAGAACAGACCACTGCGCTCGGTCGGAACACGTTTCGCTCGCCAGTCGGTTCACGCGTGCACTCGCGTGTCCGTGAAAGGGGAGGAAAAAATTACGCGACCGAAAGTACGGCGTTCCTGCTGACTGGACCGCGCACGTATATACTCGGTGTCGGGACACGTGAAAGGGCATTTCGAGAATTCCAAGTCTTGGCTCCTTTTTTTTTCTCTCTTCTTTTTTTCCATCGAAAGAAAAGCGAAACGTGAAAGGCCGGTTTCCCGACCTCGTGGTTTCCGCCCTCGTACAGCTTGATTCGGCACTTTGGAAAGATCTCAACCCCCAAAAACTCGGCTTTCAGATGTGACCGCGGCCACGGAGAATGTAACAACGACAGCAGCGGCCAGGGTGGAAACGATAGTGGTGACCAAAGGGCCGAGTACGACGGTAGGAGGAGGGAGGACGCAATGGGTGGGCTTGACCGTGGCGCCGATGCTGAACTACATATTCGACGCGCACAACAGCCACAACAAGCACCAGCATTATCACGACCATCGCTGGGGGCCGCACTTTGAGGGCAAGAGCACCAATATCACGGCTCAAGCTGGCGCCAACGTCATGCTCGACTGCCGGATATCCCTTTTGCAGGACAAAACTGTGAGTAACCCTCTCTCTTTTTTTTTTTTTTTTTTTCATTCATTGAGATACGATACCGAGACAAGTTTTCGCATCTCGACTCGGTGCTTCAAACTAATTATCGACTTTGCAAGTGAAATATACCGTTAAAATCGGCAGAGGAATCGCGAGTCTCTATAACAAGTTTATTTTTCGCCCCCTTCTTTTTTTTCATTCCAAGTTTCTTTATTAAATGACTGAAACGTCAAAAGTTTCCTCGGTATATTTTTGTTATCTCTTTTCACTCGAGTTTCAGGGAATATTAAAATACACGCCTCGGCACGTTTCGCTATACCTCCCTTTGTAAGTTTCGTCCAATCAGGCCTACCGATTATTACAGGCACAAAGTTCAAAGTGAAAGCGGAAAAAAAAAATCACTATCGTCGTATCATTTGATGCACGTGCGGAGGAACATATATATATCGACGCATTGTGTCGCGTGGCAATGACGAGCGCGCGGGGGTTGTTCTTTTGTCCTCGTTTCGAAATTCGCGTATTTGTGAAATTTCGTTATCTTTTCGTTCCGCGATTCTGCCCAAAATAAATACACGCAGCGTTGAGTGACGCATCGAGGTGTGCACACATCTTTTCGGGGGTGTGACGGCAGCCTCCCCCCGATCAATCCCTACCGCGGAAGCGATAGGGTGTATTTGTACTGGCTCGTCGTATTTGTTTCGGCAAAAGAAAAAAAATAAACAGCCCCGTGCAAGCGCTTCTAATTGAAAATACGAGTTGGATTATTTGCTCGAAAGTAAAAAGAACCGCCTCTCTTGTAACGAAGTCGGCATTTTCAGTAATGACGGACGGAAAAGGGTTGAAATTAGCCCTCATCGATTTCCGATCAACGATAAAATAGTTTGGCATCGCCGTATTTGTAATTGTGAAATCGTACGATCAAAGTGTTTGATAAAATCACGAAAATTTCGGAAAAAAAAAAAAAAAAACAAAAAAGCCAAGCACTGCCGCGTCTGCGGTGATACACCGGGCGCAAACTTTCCCTCGCGGTACACAAAGCACCCGCGTAAATAAATAACGGGAAGCCCGCGGGGCTCGAAATTCCATTTGCTTCGAGAAACAACAAAACAGAGGAGCAAGCTAATTCCCAATTCCACTGGTTACAGCAGCAAAGCCCCTCGCGACAAATTGCCAACTCTCATTAGGAGAATTCTCTCTCTCTCGAGTCCTCGCGAGGAAACTTGTTCAACCCCCAGGACAATAAAAAAAGCCGACGCGTCGGTGTTGTTCGCAGGTGTCGTGGGTGCGTCGGCAGGACAACGGCGAGAAGATGAACCTACTGACGGTCGGGCAGCAAACGTACACCGGCGACTCGCGGTACACCGTGGAATTTCAGTACCCGGACAATTGGCGGCTGCGGATAAAGAGCGCCAACAGCAGCGACGAGGGCCAGTACGAGTGCCAGATCAGCACCCACCCGCCAAAGTTCATCCACGTGAATCTGCACATCAACGGTAGTATATATATATATAGTATTTCGCTCTTTTTCCTTGATTTTCCAAACTGCATCCGTATACCCGTTCAAATGTATATATACACCTGTTGACGACACACTGGGCTCATTTGAGCCAAATTGATGGGGAAACGAGGGCAAAAGAGAGACAGCTCAAGCGAATTCCGGTGGATGGCGGACGGTAAATTGCCCGCGTCTTATTAACGTCAAAGTAGGGAGGGAAATTTCCTCGGCGCGGGGTCATTAAAAGAGGCAAAAGCGCCGAGGAGAACGGAATAACAACACCACCACGGGGGAGCAGGAAAAAGCGCTTCATTTGGCTGATGGTGTATGAGCGCGTGCTATGGCAGGATGCGCTGGGGAGAAAGATGCTCTCGCGGGGACCGTAACATCCGGGAAAAAGCACTCGTACCGATCGATGTCACGCGGCCCTGGTCGTCGATTACGGGGCTGCTGATTTTGCTCTCGCGATGGGATGGATCACGGGGGAAAAAAGGGGCGAGAGACGTCTTCGGAGAACAGCGGGAGCTTTTGTACACTGTCCGCGTTGTCGTTGCAAAGAGGTATACAATATACATACATACCTACGCGTAAGTGATTGTACGAGGTTGTAAGGATTGTAAGTGTGTCCAAAGCAGCGATTGATGACGGGGTTTTTTTCACCCGTGAGCCGAGAGAAGCGTCAAATTACCGCGGAGAAGATTGGTGCGACGATTTTAAAAAGGCATTTTCATCGGGGTAAAAGCTATTGGAATATCGGTGGAAATTGTGCATCGCGCGCGTCAGTGGAGCGACCCATTGCCTTTTTTGGCGTGTGACGTTTTACTCGCGCTACCTGGATCGCAGTCGCACGGCCGGTGTAAGCAAGGGTGCCTTTGAAATCACACGCGGTTCGAGCGAGTGGTTGACATCGCTGCAGGGTGGAAAATACGTTTGTGCAAAAATAATCGAATCCATATGGTTCATTCATCAGTTAACCGGGTGCATCGAGTCGAGCAATTTTTTTTCCCTTCAAAAATCAATGAACGGGTCCTGTCCACGGATTAATAACGTTTGCACGATGACGATGATTGGCAGGATGACGTTCCGACTTCTCACGTCAATAATTACCGCACGGAACGATACAGGATTCGAAAGAGCTGGTGGATCGATTGCATAATTTTTTCGAGATGCGCTGCTGCAACTCTGCTACTGTATCAACGAATATCTTCAAATTGTCATTATTGTTGTAATACCTTATGTCTAATCTAATCTACCTACACGCCACTGTATTGCATTTTACATGGCAGGGGGTAAAAGCGCCGGTACGTTGTACGTGCAGGGCAGTGAATGTAATATGCTCGCGAGGGCGACATTAGCATGGACACAAGTAGAGGCAGCAGTGACACGTGTATCACATCGTGTTTACCAATATCGAAGGGGATATGAAAAATGCTCGTTCTTTTCAAAGTACATTTTTTGGGACAATTGTGAAGCGCGTTACGGCATTTGAGAAGTAACGAAGTCATACTTTTACTGTGTTTAACCAGCTCCGTCGAGTCTTACTACCGCGAATGGTAAGAACTAGTGCGCGAAAGTTAGTGTCATGTAGTGGAATAAATTAACGATTCGACTTCTTTCTGAAACATTTCGTTGAAATCGTTGTTTTGGGCTTTACTGCAGTACATTGTTCCGATGAGGAGACACGAGATCGGTATTCGCGAGCTTGAAAGTAGAGGCGCTGGAGCGCGTTTATTGTAGCCGTTGCGCCCTGTACGTGCGGAAAAGAAAACATTAGTTGCAGTGTAACGAAGAAGAGAGCGCGCCTCGTAACAATATAGAAGAGAAAAAAAAAGAAATCGGGCCAGTTAACCCGACTCGAAGAGGGGAGTAGTGTGCATTTTAATAAACGTGCCACACATGTAATTATAATAGTCGTACGTGCAATGTAATCAGCGTTACGGCCACCGTTACCGCGTGTAGCAAAGTATTATCATTCGGTTTGGCGACAAAGGGCAGTAGGGACGCACAAGCGCATAACGAATCAGGTAAATAATCGAGTGGCCCTCACTAACGAACGCAAATTCCGCACTCGCTCGCGATAGAAATAAAATTTGGCGAACGTATAACGACGCAACAACAACAACAACCCGCGCTCTCTCCTCCTTTGGTTGTTTCGTACACGTTACGGGATCGATACAAAGAACGAAACTCGCGAAATTTATACTTCACCAACGGGCGCGAGCAAGAGTTGAATTTATGCAGCGCCACGCACGCGACGATTTTAAATTAACCCCTAAATATTTTACTCATCCCCACTGCTGCCTCGCGCGCATTTGCAAACGAATGCGTGCAACGCCGTATCAATTAAGTTAATGCGCTTTTCCTGTCTACTCCCCTCCGTACCCGTCCAAAGGCTCTTTATCTGTTTTTTCGCTTGATTTGATTAAGCTGTGCCCGCTTGGTCGTACTGTTCATAACTTTTGCTGGAATACCGATCGGTTACACTACTCGGTTGCTAATGCTATAGAAAAAAAAAAAAAAAAAAAAATCGCTTATTTACGCGTGATCTTGTGCACATGTAAAAAATCCGACCCGCGGGTATACGCTTCTTCGAATAGTCGGTCCATCGGGAAAGCTATACTTACACGAGTGACGGAAACTCTCGCAAACATGCGCGAACCGATTTGCCAAAGTTTTCCAGCGCCCCATCCCCTTGCCGAGGGAACTTCTTGGCCACTGGGTTAGCGTATCCGTTGAGATCGACGGACGGACCGAACACTACCTCTCGAAAATCGGTACCATATCTTAGTAACGAGTGAATCGAACCAACATCACGATTTACCTGCGAGCAGGACAACGTTTCCTTCATTTAGAGCCCGAGATGTGGCGTTTTTTTTTTTTTTTTTTTTCCTTCTAAATTTCTCCGTATACGCACGATAAGAGTAAAAAAGTAACGGGGTCACGTATCATGTTTGCAGCTCCCTCGGTGAGGGTGATAGACGGTATGGGCGAGCCACTGAGGGACAAGTACTACGAGGCCGACAGCACCATAGAGCTGCTGTGCGTCGTGCGGCACATGGCCATGCAAATGCAGTACAGCGTCGTCCAGTGGCTCCACGGCAACCGGACCTTGAATTACGACACGACCAGGGGTGGAATCAGGTAAGCCATCTCAATACACGTATGTACGCACGGAGGACGAGTATTGCAAAATTCAGCCTCTCTCTCTCTCTCTGCAGGCTGCTTGTGATGGGGAGCGTGCCTTTGATCGCGACACGCGAGAGCCTTGGCGCTTGAAAATGTATATATATATATACATCTGCTACGCTAGTTTGAAACACGCACGCACCCACACATGCTCGGGTGGGGGGAGAAGCTTGCGCTCCGTGGGGAAATAGAGGGCGAGCGAGCCGAGGTGAATTACTTCTCTTGATCGAAGCGCCTCGGCGCTCCCAACTTTTGAGTACGGCTTCAGTGGGGGAACGTGGGTATATTAACACTCGTTTTTACTCGATTAGCGATTCGTTAAAATACTCGGCTGGATCTACCAAAGTTATAATCCAGTGTCAACGGCTCTCGCGCCCCGAGTTTGGTCGTAAACGCCCGAGGAGGGATGGAAGGGATGGAAGGAAAATAGAGGGCGTTTGTACAAGATGAAAGTGCGATGGAAAAAGGGACAAGACGGAATTGGCCGTGGGAGTCGGATAAGTGCGGTTGGGAGTAAAGTTAGCAGCTAAGGAGCCGACGATGGTGCTAAGTAGGATTAGTGTTCCATCTCCTCCCTACCCTTCCCCGGCTGATGTTACTTCCCTCTTCTTCCTTCTTCTTCTTCGTTGTCTTACATCTTTTTCGAAAATTAGTTATCGCTCGCTCTATCGAACGAGACAGTTTTCTTCAGCTTTTTTCTTTTTCTCTGAGCACTTCGGGAGACGAGGAGACACTAATTCATCCTCGCTCGCCAATTTCCCCAATTTTGTCAGCAACAACAACAACAAATCCGCCATGCACGTTCCACAGGATGAAAAAAAGGACTTGACTACAAAAATTCTTCAGACAACTTCTCAGAAAACTTTCCAACACCTTGAAAAGTGAAGCTTCAATCACGCGTTCCTCCGAAGTAATATTCAATTTACATTTTTAACGAGGAGCAGATTAAGTAGGTACTCTATACGTGCTTCCTCCTCTTTCAACGTCAACGTATACAACAAGTGTATGCAACAAGGATACAGGATATACGAACCTCTCCGAAACACGCGCTCGTATACAAAACCGTGAGCTAAGCCCTGCAAGGACTCGCCAAGACGTTTACGCAGCGGTAATGGAAGGAAAATTCATTGGGCCTCTCTTTAAAGGTATATCGAGTTTCCTTGCAACTCGGGGAAATTATAAAAATCTTTTTCCATGGAAAAAGAAAGTAAAGTTTAGTTTTTGGCTCGTTAATTCACATAGGTAGCAGTGAAAGTCGCAGCCCCCTCCGGTACACAGCTCGAGCAGTGTATCATCCGCGCGGTCCCTTTTTCCCGGCAAAGTTTTCCAAAGGCTGCTGCCGGAACGATCTCCAAACTTTCCCGCTAATCCCGCCACTTGAGACAAACTCTCGCGCAAAACAAGATCCCCGCGTCGTTTCCGGCCCCGGAGATCTTCCGAGTGATACACTACCCGAGGCACACTCCATCAGTTTCCCCCTCGCTGATGTCTATCTCCCCGAGCGAGTGCACTCGCAACAGGACCGCCCCGCCTCGTTTCCTCCAAGGACCCTACGTCGCAAAGTCGTGGACGAAATGGGAAGACGTGTGTGTGTGTGTGTGTGTGCGTGCATGCATAATTAAAAACCGTAAATAAAGCCCCTCGGCGGGCCACACTCGACAATTTCCATACATAAAAGTGTAATTGCGGCCCACTTCGTAAGGGCAATCGCCGTTAAATTATTTCAATGGCCCGGCCAACGGGGACGACGACGGACCGCCCTCACGCGCGTACATGATATATACAGCCACCGGCCTTTGGTGCACTATTACGACCCAGGACGCTCGGGGCCATTTGTGGGCTTTACTGTGTACGTAGGTATATATATACTCTGCAACGTTTATCGCGACGCGGGCATCTCAACTTAATTAGCTGGCACTCGAGTCAAGTGGATAAACAAGTCTCGCCGCTCGCGTCCAAGTAGGGGAGGCACAGAGGTATATACTTCCTCCCTTGGCGTATCCGCGTGGCCGGTAAAGTTGAAAAAAACAGCCGGCTGCTTCGATATGTAACACCTTGGCCGAGCTCTTGGTTGTAGCTGTGTCCTCGAGCCGGCGCCTTGCGGCCGAGATAATGAACGAACACAAATTGCTCGGCGAACTTTTTCAATTAAAGTTCTTTTGAGTGTACGGCAAGCAAAGGCCTTCCAGCTGGCCCAATAACGTTGTAGCTGTCGGAGTGAGAAAAAAGAAAAGAAAAGAATAAAAAAAAGGCTCATCCCCGTTCTTTTTGACAACTTCTCGCTTGGCGCGCTCGGACAAAAAGTCTTATTATCCCCCCTCCTTGTAAGATCATTACGAATCTTCTGTGGTTCATCAGCGCGTCCGAGATGGTGCGCCCCCCCAAAACTGTCGAGTCCGAAACTTTTCATCGCAGTTGTACCTGAAAGTGGTTTCATCGAGTCTCAGTGTGCCAATCAGCGGGAAATGAATGTCTCCCTTGATTCGCGTGGACCCCTGCAGGGACGCTCCCGAATTGGTAATGCCTTTGCCCCCTCCCCCCCCACCTGGTCTGTAAAGTATTTACGGTCTCTTTGGAGTCAGCGGAAACGAGAAACTTTTTCTCCACGACCGCGTCGGTGGGCAGAGGGGATTCCTCGTAAAGTTCGAAAAGAGCTGATTCCTGACCTCTTTCTTTTTCGGCCTGTAACAACAGTCGGCGATAAAAGTGCCCTGCATTATTTCATCGGCTCGCGGAAGAACTCGGCGAACCGGAAAAAAAAGAGCTCACCAAAAATACCCACCGCCACTTGTTGCTCCGGATTTCACGCGCTTCTCGCGTCGAGTTTTTAAACATCATTATGGGAGGCTTGAAAAGACCAAAAAAAAAAAAAAGTAAATATTACTACACGCGTGGGGTAGTAAAAATAGCGCTCCAAAACAATGGCCCTTGAGCTCTAGTGTAACGATAGAGTCGCGTGTTCACGCAATTCCACGCTTTTTATTTCACGCGATGGAGAGCTATATATACATATAAATGTAAACGTTTCGTGGGTCTGGTGTGTTCACAGCGTCAAAACGAACCTAATGGAGGAGGGAGCCAACTCGACCCTGAGCATCGCGAGGGTCAGCCCGTCCGACAGCGGCAACTACACGTGCGTCCTGACGACCATGCCCGAGCAGCCAGCCACCGTGCACGTCCACGTCCTGAATGGTGAGTGATCATTTATCCACCCGAGTATTTTTAAATTGCATGATCGTTTGAAAAATTTGATACACGCAACCTTTCGGTAACTCCAATGTACAAGCTAATACTAATAAACTTTATCGGGCTTATTTTTGCACCTACAAATATCACCTGTGCTTCAACGTAAGGGATTTATATAATAAAAATAAGACATCTTTAATCACACAAGTCGATTACAGTCAATGTCGAGGAAACAGTGTCCCTTCCTACTTCCTATTGGGTTCCGAGCTAAGCTCGCGTCCGTCCCAAACTCGAGCGTAAAAATACACCGCGTTTGATTGAAGCAACGGTGCAAACACACAGGGACGAAAAGGGCGGGAAAACAAATGAGAGGATAAATCAAGCGCTTTGGTACGTATCCTCGATTAATTCCTTGGGATCCTTCGATTCGAGGCTGGAAATCAAATCAAAGCTTGGCTTGGTTCGGTCCCCCATCACTTGCTCGATCGAGTTACACGTCGGGTGACTTAATCCTGATAAATTTGCTCCCTTCGCTCGCAAGGACAATTGATTAATAATTAATCTCTGTATGTACGAGGCGGGACAAAAAAAAATTAATTATTTAATTACACTGGTGAAACGAACCAACAAAGAGCAAGGAGATACGAAGTAATTTCAGCTGCAAAGAGAAAAGCTTTTCTGCCGAAAAGAGCGCAACTACTCGTTGCTCCCCCTTCCCCTTTTTGTTCCTCCTCCTCTTGGCCAACGAACTTACATGGGTGTACGAGTACGAAAACCGATACATGTACGAGAGCGCAAAGAGCAAACAGATAAAAGCGGTACATCACGCAAAAGTGGCGCTGAGGAGAGGGAAACAAAAGCACCCAACTTTGGTAAAAGCTCGGGCTTGAAAATTTCTTTCGAAAAACCGAAACGTTCCCTCCCCCCTCCCGTTGTCTGCCAACGGTGTGACTATAACGTCGTTGGTCCAGACGTTCGGTGTCCGTTTCAGTGGGGCTCTCTGTTCCAGGAGAAAGCCTAGCGGAGCTGCACCACGGCAGGGCGAGTAGCCAGAACCACCCGCGACTTGGCCTGGGCCCGAGCAGTCCGGCCCTCCTGCCGCTCCTCGGCTTCGTCCTCGGCTGGCTCGTGAGGAGGTGAAGAACCGCCCACGGACGACGACCAGCTCAACCCAACTACTACTGGTGCCGCTGCTACCGCGGAGTCGTGTCGAGTCAAGGTGGTGCAGGCTCTCCCGTAAACACGCCGACAAAAGGAGGTTTTCGAGGGAGACAGCGCGGGGAGTGTCAAAGGCGAGGAAGGAGCCTCCACTGTCTCTTGTGGCACACGTGCGCGCGAGTACTCGTGTGAGGGACGGCATCAAAGAGGCCGAGTGGTGCGGGCGAGTGCTTAGGTGTGCATGTATGTGTGTGTGTGTGTGTGTGTCCGCATCGTCGTCGCCGTCGTAAAAAGGATTTGGAGATAATGAGTTCGGGTGCTGTGTGCGCGCGCGAGAGAGAGACTGTGTTTGGCCGTTTCTTTCTTTCTCGAGGGGGTGCGAGCAACCGCGTAATTCCGTTCCCGGGGAGCGAGCCTGTTATTGGATTCTTTTGTCGTGCTTTTTTTCCCCCATTCTTCCCCAACGCTGGATGAAACCACGTCTAATTTAAAATTATTTCGCAAAACCTTGAGCGGTGGATGAAAAGAAAAAAAAAAAGTGTTGACAAGTCGAACGAGCGACCGAGAATGACGGCACTGTTTAGCCGCGTTGTCTGATTTTTTACTCTTCTCCGCGCTGAAATATCGCGCAATGACTTTTGGGACGCAGTTTTAATTACACGCGGGCCTTTTTCCTTTGAATTAAATCCCTCCCACGAAATGAAACGGTACCGTTTCAATGAGCTCGGATTAATCTCTATTATTTATCGACGTGGGCTCCCCCTCTGTCGAACAAACGCACGAGCACGCAATCAGAGGTGTGGCCGAGATACGGGGGGGGGGGGGGGGGGGGGGAGTCGTATAATTCATTGTCAAGCTCATTGTAAATAAATCTGGGGCTCGAGTCTCGATAATATTGACGGAGGCCCTGCTTCGCTCCCGAAGGAGGGGAGAAGGAAGAAATAAATGGGTGGTCGAGGAGGGGCGCGCGAGGGGTCCCGTGACAAGGAAACCAATTTGTCTCCTCCGCCATCGAATGGGAATACATGGGGAGCTCACGTGTTCGCTGCATCTCGTACACACTTGGTCGCGGTCACGGAGCTCTGGAGGATGTGCGCCAAGCAAAGACACGAGAAAAGCTTTTGATCCCTTGGAGCTCAATGTCGAACAATGACTCGGATACCTCAATCTGATCATTTCCTTTTTTTTTTTTTTTTTCTTTTTTTTGTTTTGTTAGCGTCTGAGACTAGATTTTATTGATTTGTATTTCCCTCGTTTGATTGGTGAAACGATAATCGGAGAAGGAACGCACACACAAGGGCAGAATTAACGGCGATTGTTCGTACTTCTCTTAGCCAGCCAATAAAGTCTCTATACTTGTACCATTGGCTTATGAGCTCTGGGTCGCGAGATTACCGTGGTTGAAGGTTTAATTTTTTTTCCTGTAAATTGTCTTTGCGAACTTGGTTGTTTTGTTTGGGATCAAAAGTTTTGTCGTATGTATGAATGTATGGGTATGGTGAATGTGTTCAACGACGTTCGTAGCTGCGCATATGTACTTGTAGTAGTGGATGGAGAAGCTACACCGTCATGCCGACAACCAATACCGAAATGGAAGAAGAAAAAAAAAAAAAAATAAAAATAACATATGAATAATAATGATTATTATGGTAAAGATGATAATTTACGAGTATATCTATGGTTAAGGGAATATGAAATAAAATATACGAGTTAGCACATTAATGGTGTACAAAGTGTAAATAATCAAGTGCAGTGTGTTAATACGTATAGGTAATAAAATGCGAGACGGGCAAACCTGTGCAGTAAGAAGGACGGACGTAAATTAGATTTTTCATTGATAAATGTGCGAGGAAGCGAGGAGAGAGAAGGATCAGAAACGGAAAGGGTGGGGTGGGGGGGAGAAAAGAAGGAAGAAAGTATAGTTAAAAGAGATAAAAGAGGGGGGGGGGAGAAGAGAAGCGGTATGTGTGCGGAGGGCTTTGAAGCAGCGCGTACTCTTTTTCATTTCGATGTAAATAAGTTTCCCAGCGAAATTAATCGTTCTTTAGAATTCCCACGGATCTTCGGACTCTTTTATGGGCAAAAGGGACCAGCGGTCGCGACACGCCAACCTAATGCGATTCTTTCTTTCCTCCTCCTTTACGTGTATCATTTCGCCTCGATTTCGCTGTCCAATGTTTGGTGCAAACTCAACGACCTTCACCCCTTGCCACGTGCACCTTTTCTTTCAATTGAATTTACAGCTGATTGAAACTTATTTGAGGACAGAACATTGGGCGCTGCGAGGCAAACGATTCAATGTATTCTCGAGAGTTATTTTTTCCCGCGTCCCCTTGAATAATGCACTTTTTAAGCGATTAGCAGTGTTGCGAAGTGGGACGTGCAGTAATATAATACTCCAGCCTGGCGATTTATATAACAGTCGACGTTTTATTCATCGCGGACGCTACACTATTTTAGCACCATCGCTTCGAACATATAGATGTATATATTACATAGTTTAATAAAACGTGCTCGTTGAGTTGCACCGGGAGTCAGGATCTACAAACGTTGCTCGGACTTTTTTTTTTAGCCGTCGAAAAAATTTTTGAAATTCATCAGCTCAGACGTGAAAGTTTTATCATTACAAGGCATTCATTGAAATGGATGGAAGTGAGCTGAAAAAAGAATTTGAATGAAATTTGATCATTTACATGTCCTCGTGCATGAATATAATATACGCTCGAGAATTTTATTTTCGGAGATGTTTGTACTCCATCCAGCCTCGCATTATCGTTTGAACAACGTTATTTCAGGACTACTGTGAGATTGAGCCACAAACAATATTTCAAGGCGTCGCATAATAAGTATAAATATAAATTAATCTAATTCAGCACATACTCAAGCAGTTGTTCAAGAGTTTAACGAGATAAGAAAATTTTTATATCGAGACAAATATCCCCTTCTCAAATAATAAAAGTAAGGAAAAATTCCTAAGATGGTAGCATTAACATTTTATGAAGAGTTTAGAATGGTTATGTAAATGTGTTCCGAGGATACAAAAAAGATTATTTAAAACGATTATCAGCTGCAGCGTAAGCTTGGCATTTTGTATTTGAGATTCATAAATTTGTTTTACCGACGCAAATGCGTTTTTTTAAAATGTTGAATGAGGAAAAAAAAAATTTGTTATGTACCACAAGTTGTTGTGCAATTTATTAAAAGTGACAAGATACGAATGATGAATGATTATTAATGTTTTTCCGATCCACTTGGGATAAAATGCTGCGTCGTGAAATGATTCTTGCAACAGTGGAGAGTGAGAGGTGCATTGCGAGAATGTCCACGCACAGCTCGTCCCTACGTGTTCATGATTGTAGTCGTTGTATGTGTATACGAGAATGAGCGCGAAAATATTCAAGCGAATGGCAGGTTATAAGAGGTACAAATAATAAAAATGCTGTAAGCCAGGAATCCTTTACTTTTGTTGGAGAAATGGCGTTAATCGATTTATTTATAGATACATTATAATTATCCGAGAAAAATTTCAATTGGCTCACTTGTGGTTAGCGGGCGTTATTTCTCATAATAATCCCAAATGAAATATTGACTTGTATAAAATTCATGTGATGAATAAACAAATATGAAATAAAATCCTTTTGCAAAAAAAGAAATTAACATAAAATTGATTTGAATTTCATTAGACTTCATTTCAAATACATTAAATTTTTCATAGTATTTTTGAAATAATTTATTTCGTAGTCATGCATAAATTTTAATAAAATTTCAATTTTGTGTTTTGCATTATAAGTAATTGAAAGTTCCCGTTGGTTCATTCAAATTATTTGTTATTTTAATCATCATTTTGCCATGATGTTGCTAGGTAAGTTGACATATAATACGATCCTTTAATGAACTGTTACCACTCGTTTTACCAGTAATATGACAAAATGAAAAATATTTGTGAGTATAATACGCACAAACAAGTATTTGTAACTTTTTTTTTCTTTGCAAGTGTAAATAAGAATAACAAACAAAAATGTAAGTAAATAATTCACCCCACAGGTATGTCGGAGGGCCAGTAGCAGCGTTGAAAAACAATTTTCCACGAGGTATTCCCTTTACTCCTCGCCTTTGGAATTTTTCTTGCTCCCATCGGGGCTTTGTGCTTCATACGCCAGTTTATATTGAACTCGGTCTCATGTTTAATTCACGGATTCGCTTTACCTCGTCAACTCCGCGCATACGGGAGCATACCGTTTCTCCTCTTTTTCCTTTCCTCCAAGAGCTGACCATCTTTCTCATTAATTCACAAGTCTGTGGATGGATGCGCGTCTTTTATCCCGTGCTTCCGAGCGCGTATAAGTATTGAAATGAATTTCAAAGAGCAAGCAGAGCGGAGTGATCCTTTCAGAGTGCAGCTTTCGCAGTCTTTGCCGAGCGGAGTGACAGATATCGTACTCGGTTTAACAGACTCAGTCTCCCCAGGTGACGCCGAACTGTTTGCCGTTTGGATTTGGCATTGTAAAGGTGAGCGTAATGGAAGAACACAAGGGATCATTTTACTGCATAGATATTATGCACGCTTCCCTACAGGCGAGCTTTTTTAACTTCGACCCTTCAGATTTCCAGAGCGTTTTTTTCCTCTTCATCCCTCTTTCAAATTTTCTGAGAATTTCGCAATTCGCTGCTACAATCATTATGATACTGTTTATGCGAATGATATCACGTTTTGTGTCATGTCTGACCAAACTTGGCCTGTTCTACTTACAAATGGGCCTTCGCATACTTAATTTAGCTACTCTGTCCCGTACTGAGAGCGACCTTTCAAGCGTAGAAAAGGTGATAAAAAAAGATCACTTCGATACGTTGACTGACCAAACACAGCTGTTTCTACTTGACAAGATTTTTCATGTATTTAAAAAAGAAAGGTACATGCTGCTCTGTTCGTCATAAGTACGAGTCTCAACAAAAAATTGTTTTAAAAAAAGTAAGCACTAATAATATGCGCGGCTCTTAAAACAAGAGAAAAAGGCTCAAAATCG